ACTTTAATTTCCTATACTGCATTTAACAGCTAGTATTCATGATTTTTATAAAGTTTTAAGCTAACATTTCAACAACTGTGCATACCCATTAGAAATCTAAATGTATTAGAACAGAGTTATATGCTCTTCATTGCCTGTCTTAATTATTACGAATCTCTGAATAATTGTTAAAAACTGAATTTCTCTCTTTCATCTTCCTCTGATTTGAATGGATTTTGCAAATAAGTTCCTGGTCTTGAAAGGGGTTTGTTTTTCCCGTATTTAATGAGTCCAGTAAACCCTGAAAAGCCATCAGAACCCCAGAATGATAGCCAGAGTGAACAAAAAACATGGAATTCACTGTTGTTTGATTCAAATGGAAATATAAATGCTAAAAGGAAGGAAATAAAAGTATAGTCAGGATCGGTGTTCACATAAAAATTCCACAGTGCCTGGAGCTCAGGGCGGTACCGTCAATAGTTATAATGGTGATAACACCTAGTCATACTATTGATATATTGCTAGTCTCTTCCTCACAATAATTAATTTGATACAGATTCTCATAGAAACTCGTTCCTCATTGATTTTCCATATCACAATTTCATTCTCACATTATTCAGGAAAGCGTGTAGGTAGTAGATTATACACTATTATTATCCTGTATTGAATGGGAGACAGGTGAGATGTGGAAGGGATAAAAACATAGTATCAAAATGAGCAAATTTCAGGGGAAGGACATATTTTGTTAAATTTATCTTGGAAACTTGGGTCATAAGAACTTCATCCTTTAGGGTTTTTTTTTTTTTTTCTCTAAACATGTGAAGATGTTTTAAACACCAAAAAGTGTTTAAGGAGTTTGGGTTGTTGTGGGACTTAGCTGGGTGCATGTTCAGCTGTTCTTGCTTGTAGAAAAGATTAGATTATTGTCTTCATATTGAAATGCGCTTTTGAGAAAATCCCCGAGTGGGGGCCCTATTGGCCCATGTTTTGATATTAATTTATTTACTTGTGGTCAGATTCCAAGAATGCATTTATTTGGCAAAATGTGAAAAAGTCAGATGAGCCCAAGTGATTATGAGCATTCGTGATTAGATGTTTTGGAATGGTAGCAGCCAAAGGCTTTATCCAGTACTCCCTGCTTGTTAGTGGAGATATTTTTCCCCATGTAGCAACTGTTAACTTTTACATCTACATGATAGCATTAATATTCATTTGTTTATTTACTCTTTGCTCCACAAATGTCTTCAAATGCCTATTGCATGCGAAGTGCTTTGCTGGACTCCGGTGATTCAGAGATAGAATTGAACACTAGTCTCTGTCCTCAGATTCCTTCCAATCAAGAGGCAGAGGCAGATTGGCTGGAATGCAGTATTGAGTACTTTAATGGCAGTCTACACTTAATCCCATCCAATAAGGTTTATATAACCACGTATCCCTTTAGCCAATGTTTAATTTATCTTGGAATCTTGGGTCACAAGAACTTTATTGGAAAATATCAATTTCTATGCATATGTAGCTATAACATAGGAGAATGCAATGTCCTTTCAAACTGCCTGATAAGTCAATATGCAATTTATAATTTTTATATGAATTTTTTATTTAGTCACAATCATAAATGTTTATCAGGAAATTTCTATGACCTTTCTCTAAACAAGTAAGGCTATAGACATACCTTTTGATGGTAGATACTTGCTGTAATTGATGCCTAATACAAAATCAGTTTAGCAACAATACTTAGTTCCAGTTGATTTTGTAGTTCATCATTTTAATTAAGTTTAGCCTTCCTTCAACCTCTCAGCCTTATTGGTAACTTACTTTTCCTCAATTTCAAAGAAATTACATTTTTAAATGATTTTTTTAAAACCTCCCTGTTAGTGGTCATTAATCTTGCACACAGCAGATGTAATTATAATTCTGTATAATTAGAGAGACCAAACATGAGGTTTTTAAAGCAGCCAAAATTCCCCCAAAAGCCAGTAGAACTTTTTTCTATCCATCTCTTTAAAATTAGACCCATGCTTAAAACCAGGTCAGATAGATTAAAGGGATGGTAGTTTGGTCAAAATATTACCTACTCAAAAATATAAATGACGGTATTTCACTTGCAATTCCAGAGTAAGGTTTTGCATATCCATTTTGAATAACTTTTGTGAAGTTAAGTGATTTGAAATTGAATGCAGTGGGGTAAGCTGGTGAGACAGCTCAAAGCTATTCCAGGTCAAGGAAATCAGGTGAAGTGGAGTCATCCCCACTTTTCAATCCCTTTCACTTTAGAAATGCAGCACCCATGGACTCCCAGTACAGCTGCATCTTGTATGTATAGAAGTCTTAAAATCAATTTGATTTTCACTGGTATGATTCTCTAGTGTACTTAATATGCTATGGACAGGTTTCTGAGAATAGTAAGAAGCAATTACACTTCTCATGAATATATAGCGGATGAAGCACTCTGATTTATTATTCTATTCTATTTTAGAACATGCTTATGATTTTTTTTTAAAAAAAGCAAGAAAAGAAGAAA